AGAGGGACAAGCGGACAAGTAGTTTTCTGCTTTATTAAGAGATTTGAAGGTCAGAGCATCAAAATGGTAATTTCAATCAGAGCTAGTCTGGTTGCTCAGCAGACTAGCAGAGCTACTGTAGGTTGCAGATCTTAATTCATGCAGAGACTGTGATCTAATTCTGAGCACTGCTTCTTGGGTCAGATCTGGTTGAGTCAAATCGTGATGCACCAGCCCAGCAGGTCACTCCTGAGAGGCTGCCTCCCACCTAGGTGGCAGCAAATAAAATACAAAGAAGAAAGGAAATGGAGACCATGCTTTGCTGAACAAGCACAAATTTCTGCGTTAAGGATTAGCACTTAGAAAATAATCCACTGTTCCCTTTAGTGTAATCTCAGCAGACATACTAAATTCAGTGTCAAAGCCTTTGCAGATACTGTCAAGTACCAGACATAGGCACTCCTTCCAAATGGATGGGAATAGAAAGCAGGGACTGGAAGAAAGAGAATAGATTAATTTTCTATTGTCTCTCAATTAATCCTTGTATTGCCAAATGACATAATGTTAACTACAACAGGAGATATTGTTAGGAAGTCACATTTTTATCCAAAAAGGAAAGAGGATTGCAATGGCTTGTTTTCAGATGTAAATATAACACTTTTCCCTGACAGTATAATAACTAACAAGGATTTGTAGGCCTTTGAAGGAATAGCAGTATTTTTTAAACAAATAAAGATGAGTTTTTAGACCCTTACTATAGCCTTCCCTGGATGCATAGGTCTGTGCCCAGTCCCAGCAGACCAACAATAGCAGAAACAGCAATTATATAGCAACTGTGAGTAATGTTTTTCAGACACCATGGGTACTGTATTAGGAGAAAAAAAAAATCCCAAGCAAATAAATTAGGAAAATGAAAGTATAGCACAGCACTTAATCATGTTGTTGTCTCATTTAAATCAGTGGGTCAACTCATTTTTGTGTAATTATGTGTTTTTTAAGACATGCTTGCTATGTCATGAGACTGTGTAATCTTATAATTGCAGCTATTCATTTCCCTAATGTTTGCCCTACCACTGGAAGAAGGAATGCTCCAGTTTTACTGGTCATGGGTGGCTGGAGTACAAGGTATGGACATGCTAGCAGGAGCTGGTAAGCACTGCAATAGGATGCACAACCACAGTCTTAGTTAAAAAATAACTGCTTATTGCTGAAGAGATGGTAAATCAGGAGTTGCTTGACTCCAGTAATACCACAGCAACCCTGCAGTAGACAATGAAAGTGGCAGGGTAAATGGCTTCTGCCACCTTCCCTGTACTCTGAAAAAGTTGAAACCACTGGAAGCCAAAGCAGGTAGGCATAATTATAAATGGGGAGCTCTGGTGAAGATGGAGTGCAGGTGGTGGGAGAACAGTATTAAAATGATGTGTTTTATGTTACTGGTGTCCCGTCTTTTATTTACTTTAGTCTGCTGGCAGGATGTTTTTCTGTAAACATTACCACAAAACACTTAAACAGGAATAAAGCAACTTTTATTGAAGGAATTTAAAAGTAGTCCCTGGAAAACATGCAAGAAACACCATGTGGACTCCACATCTTCTTCAAAGTAGAGCAAACACAGCAGGGATCTGCTACTGTCACCAAACCTAAATCAAAATTGCACGATTTAATATTTATGTAATTGAAAGTACAAATCCAGTTTGCTGCCTGAAAGTACCTCTCAGGACAGCAAAAATCTCATCTTCTCAATCTTGTAATAACATCAAATTAATCCTGTAGTTTCAGCATAAATTAGCAACATCAGGAAAAGAAGGTTTACCACATATTGCAAAATACAACTTTCCATTCTTTAAACTAATTAGAGAGGCAGCCAGTAGCACCACTGTGGTTCTGCCAGCATTTCCACAATAAAACCCCCTTTTCAGGGCTTTATAACTTGGCTGTAAAAAATTAGCTTCAGGCTGAAGCTTGGCATACTGTGGTTCACCCCAGCAGCAAATCAAGCTGTGCGTGTGGTTATGTGTGTGGTTTGTTGATTGTTTCCTAAATACAAATCTTAATTAAAATTAATTTTGCCACTTATTGGAAGACAATGATAAAATAAACAAAATTTTAAATAAACAAAGCTACATTATTTGGCAGGCTCTTGAAGCAAGTTGTTAAGAGTATGGAAGTTTGAGGTTCAAAGAGTACAGACTTGTGATGCTTTTTTGTTTGAAATTAAATCATCAAGGGAAGTTTGAAAACAGGTTATTGCACTTGCATGATGAACTTATTTCACAGGGTGTGATTGACTGCATGAAACCACCAAGCATCTTTGACAGAAAAATTCCACACAAAAGCAGTAGACATGAGGGCACACAGTCCCTGATGCTCTTGGAACAGCTGTGCCAAAGGGAGGATCTGTGTTCCCTGTCCAGGACTGTCCAGACTGCTAAATACTCATGTGGAGCAGCCATCAGTGCCCTTCTCCACTTTGCATGTAGCAGTGACAATGCCAGCCTTTCCAGAGATCAAACTGAGTCATCTCTTCCAGTTGTGGGTGGCAAACTGCTGTCTGTTGAATTTCCATATTATGGATAATCTCAGTGCATTATTAGTTCATAAGTGTTCATATAACTCATTATACTCACACATTTTGCAGTGAGCTGACCAGCATAAATAATCTTGACTGTAAATGTTTCTGTTTCAGCTTCACTGTGGTCTGTAAGAATGCCCAAGAAGTCATGTCACTAATATGCACCTGGAAACACTGCAGCATGGACAGAGAAGTGGAAGCATTTGAAAGCAAATCAGAAAGACTGGTAAGAGGAGCAAAGCTGACTAATTCTTTTTTCAGGGGAGCTTGTTAATTTTAATACAGTTGGATGTTTTGTTGTATTTCTTCAGCATTTTAAAAAGTTAATAATAGTTGATTGCTAAATAAAAATAGGTAAAAATACTCAAGCCTTGGAAGCTAAATTTGCTTCTTCCAAAGAAGCAGAGAGAAAGACTCTAAAAACACATAAGAGATGGAGAATGTCATCAATATGCAGTAACATGCTCTCCAAATCATTCTTCAATATAAGTGTCACGAGGAAAACTAACAATCCACATCCAGTATTCCTCGATCAATGAACAGTTGAAGATGAAAATTAATATTATAGAGTAGAATAACCAATTATAAGCCAATTCAAAAGTCTATTCATCATGGACTCATTTTTGCAATGGGTGGATGAGACTTGAAAGGGAGAGAAAGTGAGTAAGCAGCACTGAGCCAACTCACCAGGTTCCCAAGCACAGAGCTTTGTCACTCCCCCAAAACAGAGTTTATGGCTGATGAACAGTGAAATATTTGAGCTCAGCCCATCTCCCCAACCACACAGAGTCAGCTAAGAGCTGCCTCTCGTACAGACATAGGCTCAGGCTCTCCATTAGATCAACAAAATTTTGTTCCAGGTTTAATTTTCTCCCAGAGTAGCTGCCAGGATATCCTTGAACATATAAACCCAATTAAGCCAACCTAAACTGATCATTAGGCTTTCAAGTATGTGTCTGCTGAAATTTTATAAGGCTGTAGTCTGCTTAAAGTTTCACCTCCTGCAGCCACTCACAGCTGACCCTGGGAGTCCACTGAAATAACAGACAGAGCCTCCTAAATTTCTGGGAGAGTCTTTGAGTTGACTCAGAATTAGAGAAGCTGCCCAGATCACTGAGGCTCACAGGAGAATTGCTCCAAATTTCTGCTTTACTCCTTTACTCCTTCCAGCTGCTGAGGTGGCACTCACTCAGAGCAGCTGTTGTGACTCTGACCTGACCTACACTTGTGGGCAACCCAAGAGTGTGGAAGTGGAAAAGCACATGAAGCAGATGTAGGAGATAGGTATGTGCATCGCCAGGCACCAGTTGTCACCTTGTGGACTGGTTTAAATTTTCTGATAATGATCAGGCTGTGACCATGGAGATTTCATTCAGCAAGCACTAGTACTCAGTGGAAAGTAAACAAAACCTAGTGCTTAGTGTCCCACTTCATCCCCCCCACCCCAATTCCAGCATATCTAGGAAACTCACTTACACACAAACACCTCTAACTCTCCATAACATGCTGGCAAATTAAGCCATAATACCAAAAAAACCAAACTTGTTGAATGAAGAGGGTATGCATGGCTCCCTAATTCTGCTGGTTTCCACAGACCTTACTCAGTCAGCTTTATGGCCATGTTGTCAGAAGCCAGTTTCACCAACCCAAGATAAGAAATCAACATCAGTTCTGCTCATTTGAGCTTTGTTCTCTTGCAAGATTAGTTAATACTTAAATAGACTGCAGGGATAGGTGAGCAGACATATCGGAGAGCACCTAGAGCGATTTTATACACAACCATGGGCCACCCCAAGGCCCCAGCCAATCTCTGTCCATCCTCATGCTCACTTTTCCCTGTCTTATTAGACGTTGTGAGCATCCTCTCTCTTTAAGTGCTGCATTTTTTCATCCTTTAGTAGGTTTTCTGTAATAGTAAGTATCTCATGTACAGTTTTGCTTAAGAGGTGTTTGCTTCCTTTGATTCCCTTCTGGGAGTACTCAACAGCTGTCTGGCTTAAGTCCTGCTTTCTTAAACTCAGGGATGTGCTGACTAAACTACATGATGAGCCAAATGCAGTCAAAAACATGTAAGAACTTTATTTAACATATCTCACTAGGGGGAAAAAAAAGAATTTTACATGCAAAAATTAATTTATTGTAGTAGAGGAACATAATAACATAATCTTTTGTAGATCAGTAGGACTTTCAGGCCATCAATATCCATGCTCTTGTGCTGTCATTACCTAGGATTCTAGGGCCTCTACAGCTTCATGTGCTGAATAAGCAATTCCCAATATTTAAATATATCCTTTGCCTGTTTGGAATCCCTCTGCTGGTACTGTTTTTTTCTGAAAGGCACTGTATGGCTCCTTTTTCCCAGCAGTTTTGATTTCTGTATTTCTAAAAGAATCTCCTTTATGATTTCTGCAACATTGCACACAACCCAACTGAACAGGAATCCAAGGACTGCTGCCAGTGACTGCTGAGAACACAGGAGGGTGAAGAAAGACAAAACTCTGGCTAGATCCTGCTGGCTAGATCCTGCCTAGTTCCAGCTGCTGAAAGAAATATATACAGAGGGCTGAAATCAGAGGTGGTGTAACAGGTAAGTCAGGGCAAGCACCTGTACTAGTCTGAATTAAGCAATCAAAACTAAAGATGTAATCAGGTATAATGAAAAGGGAAATACAGTAAATGATAGTAAAAAATGTGTACCTCAGGCTGAACCTGATCAACCTCATATATACTGGGTGGTTACATTATGATTTCTGTCACTGCCTGTGACTGGTCTTGCACTATGGCAAAGGTTGAAAAAAAAGGAAGGATAAGTGGTAGTTTTTCAAATGTATATTTTTGCATTTTAAAAAAATCCATAATGATATTAATAAAAGTCTAAATTTTAAAAAATATTTAAAATAATTATATGGAGGTTATATGCATATATTTGTAAGTAATATAACCATAGTTAATAATAATGCCTACAGTACTACACTTAGCTATTACTTCCTTGGCTTCCTTCATTAAACTAAAGCCAGCTTGGTGGTTTGTACCACTGTGGCAGCCAACAGGAAAGAGCAGTGAACATCTCATCACAGTATTGGCACTTACTGCCTTTGCTGAAACCCTGCATGATTGCATTGTCCAGAGAGCCATCACAAGTTTCCCTTCTGTGTTCTCCAAACACTCCCAGGTCATGCTGGCGGGGAACAGTGACTTCCAAGGAAATCAATGTTGTGCTAGTGCTGAATTTGGTCCTTTGTAAAAAAAGACTGATACCCTTCTTTCCTCCCTCTCTCTCCAGCAAGAAATTCTTCTTTCCAATCCAATGTTTCATTCAAATCTCTTCATCTTTTTGTGTGAATCTCTCAGCCTCACAATGAAGAACAGCTAAATTCTACAAAACAACATAAGGGAGATGCCAGTTATGATTAGGCAAAATTTAACACACTTTCCCATGTATGTTAATGTTCTACATGCATCGTGCATGCAGCTAAAGGAGTAGATACAAAAATAGGCTGGGAAATGGAAGAAAATTAAGTTCATAGCAATGATTGTTTCTCCAGACAGAAAGACCAGGAATTGCTTCTTTCTTTTACTCCAGAAGAGTTGCCCCCTCCCACTCTGACAACTTTCTGCTAACTCCCACTGTTTTAGGTATCAGCTTGCTTTTGTTACCCTGTTCACAGGCAAAGAAAGCAATCAGAAAAGACTGGAAAGCAGTTAGATGAGTATCTGTCAGTATTTCATGAGAAGCATATCCTAGAGAGCAACAGCAATCTAAATAAGGTTTAACTTCTCTTTGTGCTTGTTTCAAGGACAGTTTGGCAGTTCCATACTTGCCATGTGTGCTTTGCAGTTTATGCATAAATGTAAACTTCCTCCCCTGGGTGTCATCCCACAAAGAAACATAATAAAGGAAAAAAGTTTGAGGAAAGTACTTGTAAATTATAAAATTCATATGCATCCAGTGGCATGTTTTATATAAAGATTTTTGAAGCAGCCTTTTTACTCTCACATGTGAGAAAGGCAAAATTATTTTCTTCATAACCAGTAACTATACAGATAGTTATGCTGAACTGGGGAGGGACAAACAAACCTAACGATGACAGATCTGTAGAGAAAGCTTTAGTATGCCAGATCTTATTACAGAGCAGTGGGAGGCCTTGTACGCTACCTATCAGCTCTATAGGGACCTCCATATTTAAAATGATAAAAAAATATGTGATCTGAAAAACCCCTCATGGGCAGCCTTCAAAGGCACAGACAGGTTCTGACTGGATTAACATTTATTGACTGTTTAAGCCTGCTTTTTTGCTTCAGGACAGAGATACATGAGTTTAATTGCAAAGGTTGTTCTGCCAACTGATCACTAGAGTGGCAACCAAAGCTTTACTAATCGGTCCTTCATTAAAGAAAAGTCTCTATTACAAAACAAATTAAGCATGCTCTGATCCCAACCCGCAGGTCCAATGGCATTACAGCAAAGTTTAGGCTGTGAGAGCACTGAAAAACTTATTAAGGTTTAGCGCTGAGATAGCACTTTTGTATTGATTTTACAATACACAGGTATTATGATTTATGGAGTGCTAGTGTCACTCTAACAAGCTGAAGGACACACAATATCATCTCCAACATCATTAAAATTCAGAAGCCTCTAGAACTAACTCATCAACCACTGTGCATTGTCACAGGCTATAGAGCTGTACACCAGTTGGAAAAAATGCTGTGAGATTCCCGGACAGTTGTCTCCGGAATAATTAAGTTTAGGAAAAAAAAACGGGGGTGAGGGGGAGAGACAGAATTCAAACTCTGCGGCCGTTTAAAAACCCGTCCGTGAACGTGTAGTTGTGTATTTGCAGGCACTGCTCTTCAGCACTGCTGCTGGCGCCGGGCTGCTGTGGTTCCGGCCCGCCCTGGGGCGCCGGGGCTCGCTGGGTGCCGCACACCCGGCGGGACCGCCGGCGCGGCTGCGCCTCGGCGCGCAGCCCGAACGCGGCGCTGCCCCAAGTTTGGCACGCACCGCACCCCAGCCCTCCGCCCAGGCGGCCGCTCTCTCCCTTTTCACGGAAAAAGCCAACACCCGGCCGTTCCGCATCGCGCTCTTTTCCGCCTGGTGTAAACAGCACGCGGCGCCGCCACCCGCAGCTGCCCAGCACCCGCAGCCTCAGCGGCGGGCCCGGCCCGGCCCGGCGGCCCCTCAGCCCCGCGGCCCCTCAGCGCCGCCGTTGCGCGGTGCGCGGGCGCCCCCTCTCGGCGGCCGCGCGCAAGGGCGGGCCGGGGCCGCGGGCGGGCGCGATCCATCCCGGCGGGGCGCGATCCTATTCCGGTAGGGCGATCCTATTCCGGTAGGGCGATCCTATTCCGGTAGGGCGCTCCTATTCCGGTAGGGCGCTCCTATTCCGGTAGGGCGTTCCTATTCCGGGCGCGATCCCGGTGGGGCGCGATGCTGCCCGGGCGCCATCCCGGCCGGGCTGCCCCTCACACGGCCGCTGCCTCCTGTGCCCGCTCCCCAGCTCCTGACGCCAGCTGCGTGTGCCACAGCTGCTGGGGGAACGCAGGGAAAACTGCCTCACTTGTGGCCATCGCCAAGCGCCCGCAGGTTCATAGCTGGGATGACAGTAGTACCTATAGCGCTGTGTGCCTGGGCTAGCTAAAGGAATTTGTCCTGGCAAGATCCTGTTTTCCTGTGTCACGCTGTAGCACTAAGTAGTCGCAGTTTGTAATTATGCCGACAAGAGTCTTCAAGCCCGGCTGTTTTATGTGCTACTCTTCATACACCGATGGCATTTACATCAGCGCTACCAAATCACTTTAAAAAGGAGATGCAGGAACAACAGTATGAACACCTTTGTACAAAACCCATTTGTTTTTAATGAGGCAGTGTAGGGTGCCAGGTATTGTATTATAAACATTTCCATTCTTTAACTCAGTGATCGCTGGTTAGCTGTTGTTTCCTACCTCAATTCATGAAAAGTGTTATATTGCTATTAGATTTGCTATATGACTATAATCACGTATAGAAACATACATTCTACCACCACTTTTGTGTGCAGCTCCCCTTACAAGCTGTGTGAATGTTTCGTGTGAAAGGACTTTAAAGTCAGACAGTTGGGTAGCTAAACTTATTAGGAAGTAGCCTTATCTGAGGAGTTCCAAGGTCCTAAATTGACAGAGCCTTGAGATGTGTCCCATATTTCTGTTTGGCATATACTTACTATTTTTTTTCTCCTAGATTTTGAAATATCTAAATATTTTTATCTTTGAGTATGCTTGAAAATGTCATTTAAAGTTCTAAAATACTTCTTAAATTATTTTTCTGACTAAAATTATTTTTCTGACTAAAATTATTTTTCTGACTAACATTAAACTGGAGCTTATTGATCACTTTAATCTTAAATTATCTCTAAAGATTTTCAGATTTACATCTTACACCAACATGAGTCTCAGTTCAGTTGGGAGAGTCTCTTGATCTCAAATTTCAGAAGTGTCATCAGCATAAACAAGATCAGGATCAGCCCATAATAGGTGAGTAACAAATGTAAATGACCAAATGAAAACCCACACAAAAGTACATATTAGCATTTCTGTCTGCTGAGAATTCAATACCCTCCTTTTTTGGATCCCTTACAAATCTATTAAGATTCAAGCAGTTCTGCAAAATGATACTCCAGTATGTACAGCTGAGTACCAGCTAAAAGAATAAATTATTTTAAGTCTTCTTAAAATTATTATAATGTATATATAAAAAATGGAACATTTTTTAAATGTATGTAAATATGTACTAGAAAAAGACACATTAGAATGGTAGAAATTGTTTATATTTTTGTTGCTTATGTTTTTAATGGTGTATTATTTCTAAGGAAGGAAGAAAAGGCTTTTCTTTCCAGTATAGCCAAAGATGCCTGATTGCAAAATTCAATCAGTCCTAAAATTAAAATTAGGAGGCTGGATCAGCATGAAAGCAATTGTGTTATAAGTCAGTGTTAAGATGTTATTGATAGAAAAGCTAATGCAATACATTTTCTTCTGTCACACGTTTCTGGCCCAAAGCAATTTGCCAACCAGCAAACCTCCTCAGCATAAACACCGGGGAGCCCCCGCTGGGCCCTGGAAATCCCGCTTGTCTGCAAGTGCACAATATACAGGGCAAATCTCCATAAAGCTCAGTGCCACAGTTGAATACAAACACTCCTAAGGTCCTGCTGTGACTTGGCATACCCCGCTGGCCAGCTGGAAACTGAGAGGAAAGGAGCTGCTGCCAGCAACGGGTTACAGGGGATTGTCGGTGCAAAGTTTCCTGGAAACAGGCAGTGACTGACATTATTATTTTGTTGGAGGATACTGATGTGATATATAAGATATATGCAATGATACACAGTTGCATTTGATAAATATCTGACAGGATATACAGTAAAACAGCGCCTTTTTGATATGATCCCTGTGCTTTGGCTAGGAATTAAACCCTGAGAAAAACAAACAGAACTTGTCCCAAACTTACGTTTTACCCAACATAATTCTGGATATCAGATATTGCCCTAAATGTCATTTTATTATGTGTACCAAAAAGATTTAGTATACTAAGGGTCATGAATGTGTATCTAACACCCCTGAAGCTGCAGTTTACTGTAGATAGATTACATACAGTCACTCTTTCATTTTTTTCCTTGGAACCACTTGCAATGAATTGCTACCAGTGATCATTAAAAAAAGATTGCTCTTTTTATGTAGCTTGAATATATGGAATGCTACTTATCTGCATTCTGATGTGAAGAATGCTTCAAAGAAAATTCAAAGATGGAAATGAAGCAGCTAAACTAGGGATTGGCATACACGATCATCATTAGTCGAATGTAATATAATCTTTAACGTAAAGAAGCTACATTTTCTTTACCTGAATAAAACCCCAGCATTGTCTATGTGTTATAATAAATTAATGCAATAAAAACAGGTACACTTATCCTGTAAAGAAGCTTATTAAGCAGACTGCTAGTGCTGCAAAATTCAGCATACAGTAAACAATACTTTTTTTGTTAGAACAATGACTTACAGTTTATTCTTTTATACTGTGTAGCACTTGGGGACCACATCCATTTACCAAAATAATACCAAATTAGTACTGCAAATATTGAAATCAGACCTTTCAGACTAACCAGTGGCCTAATTTTCTCTTCAATCTGCTCTTAATCTCAATTCATCAATAACACTGCCTTATTATAGGACTTTGACAGTGAGCTAGAGCTTTTGATAAATTATACATCTCAAGCCAGATTTAAAATTTGAAGCTCAAGTGCTAATTATCTGTACAGGCCTAGTTAATAACGAGATTTCTTGTTAAGTATCTGATCACAGCATGGGCATCATTTGTCAAGAACCTCAAGTCTACCTTGGAGACTAGCTCTTCGAATTCTCCCTTGCCTACCATATGTAAAATTGGGATCTTTGTTTCTATAATAACCTTTTATTAGGAAGCTGACATAATGATTAAGTTCGCTGTAGACACATACAATGAGTTAGACAATTACCCTTGCTGCTTTAAACTACTCAGGCTCCTAGCAAGACAAAATAATTAATATTGAATTTTAATTTGATGTGTTCCACATTTAAACCCCAATTTGCAAAGTACACCTGGAAGGCTGCCGCTGTTTCCTTGCAGTTTGTGCTGATGAAATAAAAGCTCCTGCAGTTTGAATGTAAAAGCACAGAAGGCATGATGCACCACAATCACTTCTCAGTGGAGCAAAGAATTTTCGAGCATTAATGGGAAAGGTAATTACCTAGGTCTAACTTTATAGCCTTTTCTCTAATGAAACTATAATCTCCCAGGCCTACATGGTTTAAGTATTTACATGATTTTAACGATTTCGCTGCCATAACAGTTGTCACACATGGTAATTTAAAAACTCAGTGCCTTGAAACAAAGATGCTAATTATATTTCTATATTTTTATTATTGAAGTAAAGCTGGACTGTGTGAAGTGACAGAACCATAATAAAAACAGCCATGCGCTGTGTTGCCTAAGTGGAAGGGGGTAGGGGCATGTATTTGTTGGCTAAAAAAGGCACCCAAGAGCCTTCCCCACTGTACCTGTTAACTGCTGGGCAGCCTAGCTCCCCTGAGCTTTGGCTGTGGGGCTGAGCACACCCTGTGCTCTGGGGACCTTCAGTCTCTCAGACTTCAGGCAAAACTCCCACTGCGCCAACTTGTGTAGTCCTTTCCTTATAAAAATACAAATGTTTCTCAACCGTAATCACTTAAAGATATATCCCATCCAGACGGTGCTGGCCTTGTAAGGAGGAGTCCTGGAGCCCTTCCCCTACACAAGCCCAGTGCTAGAATTAGGCAGTCCTGATGGCAAGCACTTCTCCCACAGATAGATGAATTGAGCCTGAAACATGTGGGGAAGTGGGCTCTTTGCCTGAAGGACTGGACAGTGTAGCAATTTGTAGGGTGTATCCTGCAATGTGCTTCCAGTTTTTCAGAATGGTGCCTGGAGTGTCTGCTGGGATGGGATGGGGCTCCCACCCATCTCACATCATTCTGCTGTTCATGGCCTTTGCAGCCCCCTCTACATCTTTCTCTTGCTTCTGATCTTACTGTGCTGGGCTTGGCTGTCACCTCACCTCTGTGTCAGATGTGTAGGCGGGCAGGGGAGTAACAGCATTAGGAAAGTCAGCTTTCCCAATGATCTCAGCTCTGGGCTTGGGACCCCTGCCTTTACTCAGCTCTTCCTAGGCTGGATGACTTCCTCCAGCCTTGGCTTTTGTCTGTGCTTGAGAACTTAACACCTTTAAACAAGCTGAAGTCATCACTGCTGCAATTTCCAGGACAATCTAATTTGATGCTCATTGTCACGACACTGCTTTATTTTCCAAAACCTGCTCACATTTCCTAGCAGTGGGCCTCAGGTGCAAAGTTTGGATCTATATCAAAATATGAACTTCCCAAAAAGATGGGTGTGGAGATAGCTTATACAGATGCCTTCTGATTATTAGTATTATCTGCTTGTGACACAAAATGACAAAAAGTGAGACACTTAGGCATAAAAATCCAAAGCCACTTTGCTGATAGGAAGGTGAGTCCCAACACTATTTAAAGTGTCAGTGGGCAGCCAGAGTTTCTGTATTGTAGAAAATTCAGATATTTTATTTTTTTTCCCCCAGTTCTTTACTGGAATGAGAAGACAAAAAAAAAAAATTATTCTTTTTCTGCTGATTGGAAGCTACTGGTCTTCAAAAATTGAGACTGTAAGTAGTGGCTATTTGCTTATAAATTTTAAGTGAATGACGCTGTAAGAATAAGATGCTGTAAGATGATGTAGAACAATCTCAGAGAGGTAAGCTCTGCAAACCCCTGGGGAGTATTGGGCCTGAAGGATGAAACTGTGGACAAAAAAACATTAGCTATTTAATATGGTGACAAAACACTGATTTTTGCTTTGACCCCTGTAACAACTCTGTTGTTTTAACAAAGATCAGATAAGACCCTTGGATGAAACTTTGTGGATCCTCTTAGCCTGGGGGAACAAGTATCATTAGTTAACCTGACACCAAAGCAAGAAGTAAATGAGCTGCTAGGCTGGGGAAGGACAAGAACATAGCACTGGAGTGTGGGTTTCTATTTTTTTTCCTTGAGAAAAAGAAAGAATTGTAATCATCTTCTCTGCCTTAGCTTAAGGGAGACACTGCAGACCGGGAGGGAGATCATACGGTATAAAAATGTGTGATGACAGCAGCTAAAAGCTTCTTCTAACGTGTTTCCAGCTCATAAATTGGGCTATATCATTCAGGGGAAAAGACCTATTAGTCTTCTTATCTCTTCACACTTGAAGGAATACACCAGGATGCTGGATGCTGAGGGAGAAGCTTTGTACCCCAGTTTTAAGGGTATCAGCACTGGGAATATTGAATGCTTTATCTGTTTCAACACTAGATGAGATTTTACATTATAGGATTTCTTTTTCATTTAAAAGCATGGATTTACAAGAACAGGCAGATGTTAGAAAAGATGAAATAAGAAGGTGCATTATTAAGACAGTATAAAATGACAGACATCTTTTTTTAACTACTCCAGTGTAGCCATTCAGTAGCAGAGTTTCCTAATTAGCCTCCACCTCTTACCCCAGGGAGGAGAAGCTTTGAGAGCTGCTGCTTTCCTGCTCTTCCTCTTCAATGTGACAAACAAAATCAGCCAAAGCAGCTGCTCTGAGCCAGAAGAGAGTGAACACCTTCTACTGCTTGGTTACTCCTAGCTTACATATAATATAGTTTGTATTTTATAATACATGTAATTTTCTCCTTTGTCTCTGGAACATCTCAATTACCATTGCTACTGAGTACTTTCAGGTGTAGATCCAGACCTTTTGAAGAGGCTTCAGAAGCCTTATGTTTTATGAGTATGAGAAATATGAAAACTTCTTAGTAGATTAATGACCATTTCTTTCTAAAAGTTTAATAGAAAGAAGAAAATTATTATTCTACTACTAATGAATTTTTGAATGGGTTATTCAGATTAGGAAGTATCTAACAAAAATTGTCATTAGTTTTAGAAGGAGGTTCTTTCAAGTTTCCCATCACAATTAAAAATTATTTGCAGGACAGATCTTGCTGAACTGACAGTCAAACCATGGATTTTTAGGTATCTAAAAATGATGTAATACTCAAGATTTTTGATGTAGTACAACACCAGGATAAAGCTTGTTTTAACTATATGATAAAACATTAACATTTCAACATGCTGCAGCAATATAGAAAATTCACAGATATTTATAAATGCACACAGGCAACACAAATCAGACATCTCCTTTTTAATTTAGATATGCATTGGATTTTTTTAGACATCATATTACCATGCACTAAAGCAGCCCAAATGACATATCAAAAACACTGCCAATGAAAAAAACAGGTTTGTCACTTTGCTGGTGGTCTTAGCAGATAAAGCAAAATTGCCACTATACATCATCCTTAAAAGAAAGACAATACCAAAGGGGAAGCTGCCAGAAGGTGCCATTTTCAGATGTCAAGATAAGGGATGGACGTCTGAATTAATGCAAGACTTGTTGCATGTTTTCTGCAACAGACAAGCTGGTGCCCTGCTAAAGCAGACAGCAATGCTTGTGCTTGGATGCATTTCTAGGGTGTATAACTGAAGGAACCTAAAAGAATCTTAATAAAATAAATAGTATTCCTGGAGGCAATTGCTATGAGTTCTTAAGTGTTCTGTAAGCAATCCTTTCAAAGCTGTATGGAGAAACAATTCAAAGACTGAATCCTGGGGGTGACAGTCCTTTGGAAAAATCCATTAACCCGAAGGGTATAAATTGAGATGCCACCTTTGGCCCTCCTGGGACAAGGCCTTCTAGGAAAGAATAACTGGTGTCTGTGTTGTGCACAGACTGTGTAAAACTGTGTCAGATACTCAGGGTGGGAATGTTGGTGCCCTTAGCAGAACAACCAAGTCAGCGGGCATTGCAAGAAGCCATGACAATATTGACAGTAATGTCAGAGCTGCAGTAATCCTAGGGATGCGTAAGTGTTTTCTTGGCAAAACAAGTGCCCACTAGGGCAGGTTTCTGCACATCAGGAAGCACAAGTTTGGAGGGCTTTTTGTGACAAGTATCAATACAAAGAGTGGTTGCGTACAAAGCTACCTCTGCTCTTGGAAGTAAGGAAAGGAAGCTTTTTGGAAGCTGTGATGCAGACTTAGGTTCACTTGGGCTTGCATGTAACATCTTTCTGTATGTGGCTAGTGCTTGAGCTTGCTGGACTTAAATACATTACCAAGACAATCTAAAACCTCAGATGTGTTTAAGCATAGATTTGCAATGGATGGAGATTAATCAATTTCATTTTGACAACAAAATATGCTTCTCTGAGTGCCTGAGAAATTAGAATTATTTTGGTCATGAACTTTCAAAATACGTTACTGTCCAACAGTCTAGAGCTTATTGGATATGTCATTATTAAACTGAAGAGTCTGTCTGTACCCCTTTGCTTTCCTATGTCTCTACCTTCTTTTATTTTCAAGCTGTTGAGCTCTCCTTTGCTACCAGAATTGTATTTCTGGCACAAACACAAGCCCAATGCCATCTGGTCGCCTTTGCTGGAGTGTTCTTATGGCAGAGCTATAAGAACATGGAGTCTCACTGAGTTCTCTGTTTGCCTCATCTTATTTAGAGAGATGAAGGGTCCAGAGCAGAGGTATCTTGAGCAGGACACCTTGGTACCCTGGAGCTCAGAGCTGCAGAGCCAGCAGGAACAGAACAGTCACATGCTATCTGTAAAATCAGTCCTGTGACATTCCTGTCAATGTTAAGGCTGTTATTTCTACAAAGCTGTGAATATGCTTTAAAACAAATAAAATCTAAAGAATTACAATCTCTTCACTAACACAAGTGTAAATCCTGAAAACTCTTCTGATACTGGGAGCTGTGGTTGAGTTTGTCTGTATTGAGAGAACTGAAAGCAGAATTTAAATGCTAGTCGTATTCCTTCACCTGTAACCATGCTTGAGTTTGCCCTAGAGCTGGCTTCAAGAAAAGAATGTTCTAGTGTTAAATATATTTTACTGCTAAGTATTTGAATTTTCACCCGTCATTTACAAAGCCAGAGTAATACCTGAATTACATTTCTACTGACTTACACTCTTCACAAATGAAAGCTGGTGAGATGACTTGCTAACTCACACAGTAATTAATCTTCAAGAGGGTAGAAGCACAGCATTAAATTGGAACTCAGGTTACAGACATAAAATCAAATGAATAAGTTCAGTATCTCTGACATCTTACCACTTATTCCACAAGGTAAGTACATCAAGAGATTTAATTAATTGTGATATTCCCTGATTAGTTGCAGGAAAAAAAGACAAAACACAGAATATGGCAAAAGAGTTCTAATCAGACTGACCTTCTACATGGCAATGGAATTATTGGTGTACCCTGTATACATGCTGGAGATGATACACTGTCTCTGTATCGGACTGTGCTAAGATTCAGACCTTCTCCACAAGTTCCAGTACTCAGAAGGGCATTTGGAAGAACCTGAGAAGACCTTAACTGATCAATTTGTCAAGTAAAAAATGTTCGCTGTGAGAGTTTAAATATAAACCAAGTTTCTCACAAAATGCAAGACACTTCCAGCAAGTACAAGCTCTTTCTATGGATTAATTAAGATTTCTGTTCTAGCCACTCTCTTCCCCAGTATAAACCCTGTAAAAGCCAAGCCCTGCAGACAGCTCTGGCCTCTGTGGAGCAATGAATGAAGCTTGAAACTGCCCCAGGTGGGAAGGGAGGACCTCCTCCCCACCATTGTACCTGACTAGGCAGGAGGGTTTGCCCTGTCCATAGCCCAGAGCTCAACAGAGAGGAGAGTCCTGCAGGGTCTGTGTCTGTCCTGCCCCAGGGGAAGCTGCTTGAGCTCCATGGGAGCAGCAGGTCAGGCCTGGCTTGGGGAAGCACCTTCAGGTTCTGGTCTAATTACCTGCTATTTTGACTCCTGCAAAAGAATGGAAGCAATTTTTTTGAGATGTGGCAGGTTTATAGAGAAATCATAGTGTGGTGGGAAGTTTAAGTGGGACAGGGCTTATTTAATTCTCTTTCCTCCACAAAACAGCTGGTCTTTGTATTCCAGCTAATTTAGGTAGGAAGCTTGTTTTTTATTCCATTAACTTGCAGCATGAATGTCACCAACCATAGTTTATAGCAGTGACCACTGCCAGAAAGTCATCAAGACTTTTGTGTTTGTAGATTCACAGTACTCCTTATTATGCCTGTAAAACACATAGTAGTGGATCTACACTATTTATTCTAGAATAAGAACTACTTAATGCTCAACTATGTTAAAAATGCAAAAGCGAAAAAACTGATCTTGCCTCCATCTCTCCAACAGCTGCCATCACTGGGGAAGAACCAGCTTCAGAGCCTGTGACAGTGTTTCTGATGAGCTATTGGCACATTAGAGACTGACACATTCACCTGGGGAGGAGCACACCTGTTCAGTCAACCCGTGTGCATGGTAACGTATGATAATCGTGCATCAGTGCTTCTGGGGACTCTGTCATTGCACCCAGACTGCTGAGAGAGCCTCCCATCTGTAATGCCAATGTGAGATCCTACACACAGAATAATGCTGGAGCTTGTTTGTTACTCTTTTCGCATACTGGTTTTGGTAAGGAAAGCTGATAAGGTC